AGATGTTCATCTTTTAGCAATGACTGCATGTAAACCACAGAAAATTTTCCTAAGAATTATTTCTTTAAAAATGCTGCCAAGGCAATGTTATATTATGTTGGAGTAGAGAAGGTTCTCATTCCACACTGTAAATGTGTGAACTTTCCTGTCAGCCTTATAAACCCAGGCATGTCAGTGGAAGCCAGTATTCCTTGGTTTATATAATAAACTTCCAAGGCAGATATTGTGCAGTACCTGCAGGATGTCTAATTAGCAGACAGGCATAAGAGTAGAGTGAAACAAAGAAAGGGCTAGGCAGAGTCCCAGGATTGAGTATGGTAAAAAAGACTTCTTATTTATTCCTAAAGTTTAAAAGTGTTCACTCATTAAGTAGTCATTGTGGGCCTAATATGTGCCTGGCTTTGGGAATGAAAGAAGAAATAGGAAATGTACCCTCCTGCTCTCCGAGGTAGGCTTCAACAGGCAGCTACAGTAAGTGCTCTGGGGAGAGTGCTATGATGCAGAAGTGCTGGGAGCCCAGAGTGGGATCAGGAAAGGCTGGCCAGAGGAACGGGGTTTTTATTAAAATTATCTTTAGACAGTAAACATTTGTGTTTTGGGTAAGCATGGTTAACTTTAAAAGGAATGTGAATGGTACAGCTGATTTTACCCTTTAAGCATGAGTCAGAGACCATGCCTTGAAGACCTGTGTCTAAACATACTTTTATACCCAGCTGGTTCATGGTTTAATTGAGTTCTTTGGACTAGCAGTTTTCTGGTCACAGTGCAAGTACTCTGGCCAGTGTATAACACACATCTCGGTGGGCATTTATACTTCAGTGTGAACTAAAAGATTCATGTCCTTTGCATCTTGAGCAGGTTGAAGGAGTAGAAAGTAGGCTAAGACTGTCATCAGGCACTGGAAAGGTAAGCAGGAAAAAAGGAAAGCAGACGTTTCAAATAGTCAGAAAGGCATCTAATGTTTTCTATATATAATGTATATTGTTTTGTTTGTTTGTTTGTTTGTTTGTTTGTTTGTTTAAATCCTCACCCGAGTTTATGTTCAGAAAGAGGAGGGAAGGAGGGAGGGGAGAAGAGAGAAAGAAATATCAGTGTGAGAGGGAAACATTAGTTGGTTGCCTTCCATACACGCCCGGACCAGAGATTGAACCTACAACCTTATGATGTATAAGATGGTGCTCCAACCAACTGAGAAACCTGGCCAAGGCTGTATCTAATATTTTTATGTCCTGTTACCAAATTAACTTTTTATCACTGTGTTAAGTGATATTCAACAAAATGCTTCTGGAAAAAAAATAATTTATCACCTTAATGTCTATTCATAATATTAGGCTCTAATCTACACAGTTGAAAGAATTTTTGAGAGGTCCCATCATAGCATCACTTTTCCATCAAGCCAGATCATATCAAAACTGCCCCTGGTCAACTAGAACACTTCTCTCTAAAGACCACAGGAGTAGGGGATCCCAAGTATTTTCCCATTAAGCTGTCATTTCCAGAATTAAGCATCCCTTTGCTGAACCCAGGAGTATTTATGCTGTTTACCCAGTCTACATTTATTACAGAGCTGCAGGGCTTTGCCAACATCACTTATGCTCCCTCTCAGGCATATTTGTTCAGGGTTTTGTGCTTCTCATATAAAAGGAAACATAAAATTTGCAAGTGTATCCCTTAACAGGTGAGGGAGCCAGAATCCAGGGAGATTAAACTGTAGCTCCAAGAAGATTAAACTGTAGCTCAGGCAGGGTTGCAACCTGGCAGATAGTGTCAGTGCCCAACCCACACTTTTTCCCTTGTAGCCATCCATCCCCACCCCACTCCACCCACCCCCAGATACTTGAAGGCAAGGCCACTTTTGAATGCTCTGTGTACCCAGCACACAGCTCCAGGGTGGCAAGGGTCAAGGCTCAGCAGGTTCAAATAAAGCATGGACAAGGTCATTTTTGGCTTACTGTTTAGAAAGTTCCTTTGAGTCCTGTGGAATATTTTTAATATATTTTTTCAAATAAACTTTTTATGATAGTATAAGATACATAAGTTCACAATTCGTAGGTATATATAACACTCTGAATTATCAGAGAGAACATTCCCATGGTTAAAAACACCACGAAGCCCTGGCCTGTTTGGCTCAGCGGTTAGAGCTTTGACCTATGGTCCAGAGAGACCCGGGTTCAGTTCCTGCTAAGGGTACGTACCTCGGTTGCAGTTTGTCCCCGGCTCTGGTTGGGTCGTGCAGGTGGCAACCACTTGATGTGTTCCCTTCACATCGATGTTTCTCCCCCCCCCCCCCCTTCCACTCTATCTGGAAAAAATGCCCTCAGGTGAGGGAGAAAAAAAAAAACCACCACCCAGGTTAAGAACAGAATAGAATTTCCTGCCCTCCCTAAAGATGGCCTCTGTCCTGACTGCTTACACCTTGGATTCTAAATTTATTTGTTCATTCTTTTTTTTTTTTTTAATGTTAAGAGCTTTATTAAGATATAATTCATATACCATACAACTTACCTATTTAAATTGTACAATTCTGTGGCTTTGATACATTTATAAAGTTATGCAGCCATCACCACTATCTAGCTCCAGAACATTTTTCATTATCCCAAAGATAACTTAATCTTTGAGCTATCCCATCCCCACCCACCCACAATTCCCTATACCCCCAGCCATAGGCAGCCACCAATTTACTTCCCAATTTTTAAAAAAATATGTTTTGTTTTGTTTTTTAGAGAGAGAGAAAGGAAGAGAGAGAGAGATAGAAACATCGATGTGAGAGAGAAACATCTATTGGCTGCCTCCTGCACGACCCCTACTGGGGATTGAGCCCACATCCCAGGCATGTGCCCTAACCTAGATTTGAACCAGGACCTCTCAGTCCAAGGGACACTCAATCCACTGAGCCACACTAGCCAGGCTCTCTTTTTAGGTTTTTAATGAAGTTTTCATTTTGTTCATACATCAGTTTCTGACTTTTTCCACATCTTCCTTTAGTTCTTTGAGTATCATTTAGAAAGTTGTCATGTAGATCTGACACCCTATCTTTTCCAGGGATAATTTCTATTGATTTATCTTTTTTCTTTGAATGGATCATAATTTCCTGGGTTTTATTTGTTTGTTTTTTGTTTTGTAAGCCTTGTGATTTTCTGTTGTTATTGAAAACTGTATATTTCAATCTAATAATGTGATAACTCTGGAAATCAAGTTCTCTTCCTTTCCCAGCATTTGCCGGATTTTGTTACTGTGTTGTTGTTGTTGTCGTCATCATTGTTGTCAGTTGTCTCTGTGCCCAGGATTATTTTGACATGTAAACTTAAGATCTTCTAAGGCCTTTTCAAACCTGTGTTTTTCCCTAGGCATGTACAGTCAGTTTCTAGTTTTTCCTTTATGTGCAGTTGCTTTTGAATGTCCTATGTCTGGCTCCCAAAAGAGGAAAAAGAGAAGAATGGGGAAGCAGGAAAAAGCAACCTAGCCCTGTAAGTCCCCTGGAAGTCACTTCAGCTAAAGGAAGAAGAGCTTGCAACATTAGGGGAAAGTACATTGACAGTGACTTCCTCCTCCTTTTCTGCACTTCTGTGGTCAGAAGCAGCAGTCAGCAGTTGGAGCACAGATCCCCAGTATCTGGAGGACAAGGGTCCTTTTGGTCCACCTTGACTCCCACAAGCTGTGTGCAGGCTGCTACAGGAACACACAGTGCACAAGCTGCCTGCTTCAGGGGGGTGTTGGAGAATAGATAGCTGCTACTGTTCTGAGAGCTGAAATTGACCTAAATTTACTGGAACTTATTGTCCAGGTCTACTCTTTATCTGGCTGAGAACTTTCCTTCTAGTATAGTTAGTTGAGTATTTTTACCATGGAAAGGTATTGAATTTTATCAAATGCTTTTCCTATGTCCAGTAAGGTTATAATGTGGCTTTTGTCTTATTCTTTTAGTGTAGTATTACATTGTTTGTTTCGTATATTGAACCAGTATTACATTCCACTTTGTCATGGTTTGTAATCCTTTATATGCATCTGTGTTTGGTTTGATAATGTTTTGTTGAGAATTGTTTCATTTGTATTCATAAGAAATATTGGTCTGTAGTTTTTTTGTGATATTTCAGTCTGGTTTTAGTATCGGGTAATATTGGCCTCACAAAATGAATTGGAGTGTTCTCTCTTTTATTTTTGGGAAGAATTTTTAAAGCATTGGTTCATGATATACTTTTATTCAAGGAAAAATATCTGCTCACTTTAGGTACCATATGACCTCAGAACCTTGAGCCTTGCTTTGTTGGGTATTTACTAAATTTCAGATCCTTGTATTACTGATGGGCTTTCCCCAGCCCTGTTCCAGTGGGGCTGGGAAGTTGTCAGGACTCTTTCATAGGTACTAATCCCAGTAGTTTTCAGTGTCATGCTGGTTTTGTTTGCCATTACAGGGGTGGGCAACCTTTTTTCTGCCAGGGGCCATTTGGATATTTATAACATCATTTGCAGGCCATACAAAATTATCAACTTAAAAATTAGCCTTCTATATTTGGTCAGGCTAATTTGGTGAGGCGTGTGATGTCAGCTAGTATTGATTTTGTGGGCCTTATACTATTGCCCACAGGTCGGGCGTTCCCCACCCCTGTATAGTATTGTTAGAGCATTCCTTCTAGAAACTGTCATCTAAAGGAATGTTTTATAGCTGACTTTGGAGATAGTGAAAAAATTCAAAGATCATCTCTAAAAAGTTATTTTGGTAGCTTTTTATTCTATTGGAATTGTGCAGAGCAGACCTGAAAATTCCTATTTGTTTGTTTTTCTTCTTGCATTTACATTAGAAACAGCTATTTTATTATTGTATTTTCTTTGTGCCATCCTGTATCAGAATCTCATTGGTTCCTTTGTCACCCTGGGTCCATACTTTAGAACTACACTAGTTTATCACTCAAAACCACTGTGAAAGCGAAAAGCATGATCCTCAGGCCACCACTGGGCATCTTCTGAGCCCCCTTGTGATCTAGCCTACTTTTCGCCCACAGGTACCACGTACACAGACTTCACGGCCGGAATCTCCAGGGATGACCAGCCCCTCCCCTCGCATCCAGATAATCTCCACTGACTCTGCAGTATCCTCACCTCAGCGCATTCAGGTACCTGCATCAGCAGTCCCATTTGTTTCTAGCCACTTGCCTAAAGGTTTCACTAAGGAGTTGTGTCTTGGGCACCAACTACAGTACAAATTTATTTATTCTTTAAAAAATTAAAGAAGTTGACATTTATTGAATTAAGTTTTTTTAAAATTCTCACCCAAGAATATGTTTTTTTAATTGATTTTAGAGAGGAAGTTGGGAGAAGAGAAAGAGAGAGAAAGAAACATCATTGAGTTGCCTCCTATATGTGCCCTGACCAAGAATAGAACCTGCACCCTTTTGGTATACGGAACGACCCTCCAGCCAACCAAGTTACCTGGCCAGGGCTATTGAATTAACTTTTAATATAAAAGTCTAAACTATTATTTAAAACTAGTGGAATGAAGTTTTATTTTATTACTTATGAACATTCAACTGAGAGGTTAAATGTCGTAGTGGTTAAGAGTGTGGGCCCCCATTTGAAGTCAGATCCAGTACCATGCTTTATAGCTTTTTTGACCCTGGAAAATTAACTTTTCAACACCTCACTTGTTTCATTTAGAAAACGTACATAATAACAATCATAATAATACTTACCTCATAAGGTTACTATGAGGAATCAATAGTATATTGCTTATAAAGTACTTAGAACAGTGCCTGGAATATATTAATATTTAGTATATACTAATTATCTATATATAACAACTGTTATTACCAGTATTGCTGTTATTAACTAATCAGTATTCACTTTTGGGAAGTTTAGTCTTCCCCAGGGCTCTAAACACAGCTGCCTCTGGCTCAATGAATAAAGAGAAGGACAACAATGAGGTATCACCTCACACCTGTCAGAATGGCTGCCATCAACAAATCATCAAAAAACAAGTGCTGGTGAGGGTGTGGAGAAAAGGGGACTCTAGTACACTGCTGGTGGAAATGCAGACTGATGCAGCCACTATGGAAAACAGTATGGTGTTTCCTCAAAAAATTAAAAATTGAACTGCCATTTGACCCAGTGATCCCACTTCTAGGAATATACCCTAAGTAGCCTGAAACACCAATCAGAAAGAATATATGTACCCCTATGTTCATAGCAGCACTGTTTACAATAGCTAAGATCTGGATACAGCCCAAGTGTCCATCAGTAGATAAGTGGATAAAAAAGCTGTGGTACATATACACATTGGAATACTATGTAGTTATTAGAAAGAAAGATCTCTTATCCTTTGAGACAACATGGAAGGACCTGGAGAGTATTATGCTAAGCGAAACAAGCCAAGCAGAGAAAGACAAATATCACATGATCTCACTTATTTGTGGAATGTAATGAACAAAACAAACTGATGAACAAAATAGACCCAGAGACATAGAAGTAGGGTACAGACTGACAAACTCAGGAGAGGAATGGGGGTGGAGGGAAGAGTTAAACCACAGAACTTATATGCATGTATGTGTAACCAATGGACATAGACAAAAAAGCTGAGGATGGGATGGGGGGAAGGTGTTGGGAGGAAGGTGTCAATGGGGAGGGGGAAGGAGAAACATCTATAACAAAAATAAATTAATAAAAATAATTTTAAAAAATAAAAAATGGGGGGGAAAAAAAGAGAGAGAAGGTATAAGTAAGGAAAATAGGATCAACATACTCAGTTTAAAGATTCATAGTTATCTCAACAAGCTGAATCAAGAGACCCAACCAATAAAACATGCACAGAGATAAATGGCAGGAAAAAAAAAAAAACAGTAGTTACATAACATGAGTTTGAGAGAATACCGGGTGGACAGGTATTTGAATGATTAAGAATAAAGGGATTGCTTTCATTTACAGTTAGTTTTGGGCTCAGTATAAGTGAACAATATAACAGTAACTAGATAATTTCTATAGTGATTTTTATGAATTATTATTATAAACTTAAGAATAGAAGAGTTCTAATAAGTAAAATGAAATAAGTTTAAAATTATATTCCCATTCTGTCTGTATTGCATATTATTTTATCATAAATACAGGAGTTCATATAGTTGTCATTGTTTTAATTTTACACCATGTAGGAAACAAATATCTGAGTGTTTGGAAATTTAGAAGTAATGGCCTGGCATACATGTTTTACTGTTTACCAGAATTAGGAATTTTATATGGTCAGATTATTTTTTCTCTTTTACTTTTTATTTGCTGATTGCGACTTCAGAATGGGTCCTTTATAATTTTATGTAGTAGGTGTTAGAATCCTGCCTACCTAATTTTTCTGACTGGGAAAGGAGCTAACTTTGCATTTAAGTATGGCTGTTACATCACATTCTCACATCCATCTGATTCTCCCATACCCTGAGGCCTATGATGTTTTAATGAAGTGCTTGGAACCCAAATAGTAGCTTCTGTGATAATAAGGTTGGGAGGGAAAGAGTATACAATAAGAATAACAGTAGGCAAAATTTAGGAGCTTTGACTCTGAAATCGACTTAGGGTGAAATCTTGTTTCCACTCAGCTATGTGACCCTGGGGAAAGTTTCCATAACCTGGATGTATAGCTGTAAAATAGCAACAAAAATAGTGCCTATTTTATAGAATTTTAAAAGAATTGAAAGGTAATTTCTTTAATCCTATAGAAAACAAATATCAATAAATAGCAACTGAGTTATAACTTTTTAATGTTTTATTTTTATATAATTTTAAACTTATGGAAAGTAGTACATAGAAGTTCATTATACTCTTTCACCAGTTGTTTTCTGTAACATTCTGAGTGTATGTATATATATGTATATATATATATGTATATGTATGTGTGTGTGTGTGTGTGTGTGTGTATATGTATGTTTTCTGAATCATTTGAGAATGAGAGACATCATGCATCTCTGCCCTGGACATTTCGGTACTTAAAAGAACAATGCTATTCTCTTACATAATCACAGTAGAGTTATCAAAATCAGGAAATTTAGTATTGAACCATGCCATTATCTAATCCATAGTCCATATGCTAAAATGTCATCAGTTTTCCCAGTTTTTTATAGCTATATTTTCCCATTTCAGAACTTATATTACTGATTTTAATAATAATAATAATTAAGGTGCGGCAGTCAACACAAGACCAACATATCTAGTTATGCAGGCCAGATTAATGAAACATAGACTTGTGTTCATCAGTATCATATTATCCTAGTGACTGTAAAAGGGCTTTGGAGCCAAGTGGGAAGGGTGGAAGTCCTCAGAGTGGGGGAGATAGCCTTGTAGCAGGGGTTGAGAGCTATTGTTTTTTTTTGCTATACAGTGGTTTAAGGTGGGAACTGTGGGAAGAGATGGGGTATTAAGAAGAGCCATAGGAGCCCGGCTGGTGTGGCTCACTGGTTGAGCATTGGCCCGTTCGATTCCCGGTCAGGGCATGTGCCTAGGTTGTGGGCCCAATCCCCAGTGGGGGCATGCAGGAGGCGGCCAGTCGATGTTCTCTCTCATCGATGTTTCTATCTCTCTCTCCCTCTCCCTTTCTCTGTCTCTAAAATCAATTAAAAAATAAAAATAAAAAAGAAGATACATAGGAGCCCTGGCCAGTGTGGCTCATTTGGTTGAGCATTATCCCAATCACCCAGGTGCACGAAAAGGTCCCAGTTGGATTCCCAGTCAGGGCACATTCTCCTGGCTGCACGCCCAATCCCTGGTTGGGGTGGGGTGCATGCAGTTCTTTCTCAGATTGGTGTCTCTTTCCCTCTCTTTCTCAAATTAATTTTTAAAAAATCTTTTTTAAAGAAATAAAATAGAAGAGTCATAGGAGAACATCACTTGTCTGAGAATGAAGCTTAACTTAAACCTTTGAATCACAAAGTAGCTTCTCAGTAAATCTCACAGGTTTCCATCATATGTACACCTTTCCAGGCCAATGGTTTTCTTTCTTTTTATTTATTTATTTATTAATTGATTGCTTTTATTGATTTTAGAGAGAGAGGAAGGGAGAAGGAGAGAGAGATAGAAGCACTGATGAGAAAGAATATTGATTGGCCGCCTCTCGCATGCCCCTCATTGGGGACTGGGCCCACAACCTGGGCATGTGCCCTAACTGGAATCGAACCAGCGACCTCCCAGTGCATGGGTCGATGCTCAACCACTGAACCACACCAGCCAGGCTAGGCCAGTGGTTTTCAATTTGTGTTCTTTATTGCTTCCCAGACTACACAAATACGAGGTTCAAATTTTATTTTTTAATCCAGCTTTCAAAGTAATTATGATAGATTAAAAGAAAAACACACTTGAACATATCATGTACCAAATTTGGCACACTGAAGATCACCAATGCACTGACATGTGCTGCCATTTTTATTCTCTTTGGGGCAGACCTTGCTATAAAGTTTCTCTTGCCACCTTTGTGTATTTTAAGGTTTTCCTGAGATATTTTTCCATATTCCCCATTTCAGGTTGTGTTTTCAGGAGAGCATCACTGTGCTCATTGTTTGACATAAGGAAATGTTTAAATTTGAACTTATAAAATTCATTTGTATTATAAAATACTTCTTTTATCTACTTTATTGTGGCTTCACATTTTACTAGAAGGGACTACTGCTATTTGTATATGTTTTTTAAATTTTGCATTTTTTATTATAGTCCACTGGGGAAGGCATCTTAGGCTCTTATAGTATCCCCCTTTGCCTTCTTCTCCCTTCTACCAGCTCTTTATTCTTATACAATTCCTTTGAGCTGCCAGTACCTGTTCCCTGCCATTTCCACATCCACAACCATCCACAACCATCTGATGTTTCTTTCTGACTTGGAAGTTCTAGTGGCTGCTCTCAGGTACTGATAGGAGCTGTTGCTTGTTTGTAGGTTTTGAATGGGTTAATAGGTGCACGCCATAACAGAATCACACCAAACAGGAGTCAAAGTAAAAGATGAATCTTCTTTCCTCCTCTTCCCCAAGTGTCTCCCAAGAGGTAGCCACCCCTTACCATGTTACTTATTTATTCTTTCAAAGATGGCCTCTACCTATGCACCTACAGCATTTTGTTGTTGTTGTTGTTGTAACTGTTAATCCTTACCCAGGGAT